GGAGAAACGGGGGAATATCGATTGTTCAAATATTTTCCGAAAAACTACAGGAGAAACTTAAAAAATTTCATTGCATGTAGATTTAATGTTTTTTTAGATTTTTTTTTTTTTTTTTTTTTTTACAGGATGTAACTTCAACTCACGATTTTTCTTTTGCGATGGCTGCTATTTGCTCAGAAGATTGCAATGCATTGTCGTCGCTTTCAGAATCAACGTCATCACTTTCTTTTAATTTTTTATTTGGCGGTTCACTGGTATCAATAACTGGTTGCGAACTTAATTTAGGATCTGATAACCGGTCATGAGCTGATTTAGCCTTATTATTCAATTGCTTATTTAAAATCACAGATTCTTCTTCATCTTCTTCCGCTTCTTCGCCAAAAGACAATAACTTAAAATTTCTATAAAAATGATTATTTTCATACATGTTAATGTTTACCTAATCTATAAAGAAATAATAAACATTTCTATAATGCTTACTTCACTCCAGTTTTCTTTTCTTTTTTACTTTCTTTTGCATCGCTATTCTTCTTGGATTCAATACGTGGTGTGATATCCACAAATGGATTGTTCAAAATTTCTGTTTTCAATATCTTTTGTGGATAAATAGGTCTATCATCCTTAAAAATAGAAAATAATAATAATAAAATATTCATTTATCATTTAACATCTTCATATAATTCTTTTAAATAAAATATAATTAGATTACTTCATCGACAAGAGCTTCTTCGAGCTTGAGCATGTTGTACAAAGTTTCTCCAATGACTTTGCCAAAAATGGTATGTTTGTTTTGTAATTCTGGTGTAGCAGCCAGTGTAAAAAAGAATTGTGAGCCATTATCATCTTTGCCAGCATTAGCCGAGGCAAGAAGACCTCTTCGACAAAAGCGCAGCCTAGTATGAAATTCATCCTAAAATATATACTTATTATTTAATAAATATTCTCATTCATCAATAATTATATTTTTTATTTACCTTGAAAGGAGCACCATATATACTCTCACCACCCTCTCCTGTACCTGTTGGGTCACCGCCTTGAACTATAAACCCTTTAACAACTCGATGAAATATTGTGTTGTCGTAATAACCTTCCATACATAATTGAATAAAATTTCTACAAGCTTTAGGAGTTTCCTTCGCCCATAATTCAATTTCTATATCTCCAACGGATGTTTTCATTAAAACCTAATCAATAAAAACAATAATTCATAAAGAGCAATCAATTCAATTGATTTATTTAATTTTATAGAAGTTTAACTAACCTTTCCTGTCGTGGGAGGTTCTTGAATATAGACGTTACTCATTTTTGTTAATTTTGTATCACAATAGCATTACTCAATTAAATAATTATTTTATATAGGATAAACAATAATTACAATAACTTTGATCAAATGATTATAAACTATAACTTTGTCTCATAAGCTTCTACCATACAATAATAACTATTTAATTCCACAGACGGCGCCACTAAGTTTTTTAAATTTACTGATGGCGCTGCAAGTTAACTACAATCAAAAATTCAATTTCGCGCCATTTTAATTTTAATTTTTTTAAATAAATAATATGAAAGTGCAGAATATCATAATGAATACTTTTAAATTAAATAAATAAAAAAAAAAGTATGCATTAATTTAATTAAATAATCAAATTTGTAGTTTTCGAAGTAAATCAGTGAATCACTAAACGCGTACATTTATTTGAATGATTGAATTTAATTAAAATTGTACATATGAATTGCAAGATTAATTTGAATAATTCTTGATGGAAAAATAAATAAGTAAGGTTAGCTAAAAGTTATTAAATTATTTTATTATCAATGTAAATTTATTATACACGTTTTAAAAATAATTTATTAATCAGGATAACATGTGGGCCAAGGTAAACTTCCAACATGCGCATATACGTATTAAATATACAAGGTGTCATAATAAATGGGATCCACTTTAGGAGTGACAGGAAACATAAAACAATGAACAAAAATTCGTACAAGTACAAAATTCATTTATTTCTGGGTATTTTTTGAACCAAGGTCAAATAGAACATACTTTTTTAAATTGATTTTGATCCCTTGGTTATTTCTGAAGTGAGTCCCATTTATTATGGAACATCTAGTATATGCATTAGATACATGTACGATGTGTATATTACATGTGTGCTAAATTATCAGCTGATGCGTGCGCTTCTAATATATACGAATAAATATATGTATACAAGTCTGGAGTTTGACCATAGGGAACTGTGCCGATTACCGCGGATACGTTACGCCAGTTACAGTTCAGTTCCCCTCCAGGAATACAGTGATATTCGTTCATAGTGATATGTAATTCTTCTTACTATCCAAACCAATTGTAAGCATTCATCCTTTTATTTTTTTAATCTATAAGTATCTTTATCTCTTTAATTTTTATTAAATTGTATTAAAAATATTCTTTTTATTCATAATTTAATATTTATTCCATATGTGTATGTGTATGTTTATATTTTATGCAAATTTTAATTACTATTTGATTAATTCCTTTTTTCTTTTTTCTTTTGACGGTTTTATATGAATGTAATACATGTATGCATGTATATATGAATATAGCGTGATTATTTGAGATAATGAATATTATAATCTATTTATATCGTCTTTCTTATCATTTTGTGTGGTAATAGCAACCTATATTTTACAGTCTTACTTATTATATTTGTCTGAAGGATTGGTTCGATTATGTGATTTTTTTAGCATATTTTCTTTTGAGATATTTTATTATACAATTTATTTATTTATAAAACAAAATATTTATAATATTTAAAAATATTTTCTATAATCTTGTCTTTCATTTTACATAAAAATCAAACAAAAAAATTTATTTTCCTTTATTATATTTATTATTAAATTGTTATTCTAATTAATTGTTTCTTGTATGTTTTCAGTATCGTATGTATACGCACGTCTGAAATTATTTATTTAAATTATGTTAAATTAACATCATGATATTGTTGGAAAATTTATTATAGATGTTCTTGTATATAATAAAAAAAAAGAAACAATGTAAGTCAGTTTATGTAATAGTTTGTAAATTTATTATTTATTTCAAGCATTGTCTTTTCCTTTTTATGTCAATATTTTATACTAATTTCTTTGTTTCTTATTTACAGCTACGAATTAAAAAAGAGGACAAGATGACGGATATAAAAAAATCATCTCGCTGGTATTTTGGAGGAATTGCTTCTGCTGGCGCAGCATGTGTTACACATCCATTGGATTTGCTCAAGGTATTATGTTGGATTATTTTTTTTAATGCGGTAACAAGAAAATAAATAAAACAGTATTGTTATTATCTTAGGTTCATATGCAAACTCAACAAGAAGGTAAAATATCTGCGATACGCTCTACTGTTACTATTATTGAAAAGGATGGTATATTAGCTTTGTACAACGGTCTCTCTGCTTCCTTACTTCGTCAGCTTACGTATTCTATGACAAGATTTGGTGCTTATGAGGTCTGCTTATATTATTTTTATTTATATTCGAAAATTCATAAATATCTAAAAATTAGTATTCGAAGAGATGATATATATTTTATTATTAATATTTATATCTAGGTAGGTAAGCAGAAGATTGAATCACATGGGAATCCTATGCCATTTTATCAAAAGCTGCTTTTGGCTGGATGTACAGGTGCTGCTGGCGGAGTTGTTGGTACTCCAGGAGATTTGATTAACGTTAGGATGCAAAATGATATTAAGTTACCGTCACACCTTAGAAGAAAGTAAGTAATGAATATATACATTTTGTTTATATTTAATAGTAATAATTTTTAATTTTGCAGTTACAAGCATGCTTTAGATGGGTTAGTACGAGTTATTAAAGAAGAAGGTGTATTACGGTTGTTTAGTGGTTGTTCTACTGCAACTGGAAGAGCAATGCTAATGACAATAGGACAATTAAGTTTTTATGATCAAATTAAAATAATTCTATTGTCTAGCGATTATTTTACAGACAATCCTACGACCCATATAATTTCAAGCCTATGCGCAGTAAGTTTTATTATTTTTTGTCAGTATAGGTTACTTATCTGTAAGACTTACAATTATTTTATTTACACAAGGGTGCTGTAGCTACAACATTAACACAACCATTGGATGTTCTAAAAACGCGTGCAATGAATGCCAAGGTTGGACAATTTAAGGTGAGTATTGATAAATTTTTTATGATTTTAGCATCATTAACAATTTGTTTGATCTTTTTACAGAATTTTGCGGATCTCTTTTTATATACTGCCAAACTCGGACCATTAGCTTTTTTTAAGGTAAGTTCGAATATAAAATTAACTTCAAAGAAAAACATAATAATAACATTAAATTTTATTTATTATGTATTAATAACAAATTATTATAGGGATATGTGCCAGCATTTATACGACTAGCTCCACAAACAGTTCTCACATTTCTATTTCTTGAACAACTCAGGGTCTATTTTGGTATTCCAATATCAAATGAAAAACCAAAACCTCAATGAGATATTTTTTTTTCTTTAGACATAAAATTAACTTAAGAGATATTGTTCCGTACGCCCTAAAACGCACATAATAGAGTATAGGGTTTATCGATGATTTGTGTAAGCTGCCAGTTTTACTCTATGTCTATATCTTCTTTGTTACCATATTAATGCGTGTAATTATTTTACAAACATTTTGCACAATTAATTCGTATTATTTTTAAATGGGATTATTCGTGCAATCGTAATTAGAAAAAAAAGGAATTGCTTAGGTATGCGTAAATTCTGTTCCCTAAAAGAAACAAGTCGCTGTGTATTTTTCAATCATACATTCCATGTAAATATTATTGATTGTTATTTATATGCAGGCATATACGTATATATATATGAAACGATATACATTTGTATTTATATTGACGTTTATATGTACGCAACTGATTGATTTCGTTGTGTTAATGATATCCGAATGTGTCTTACTAGCAGGACTACGTAAGATTCGGATATTTTAATCACACGGATCAATGACATGCGTACGATATGCACAATTGCTATCATTATACGTACATAGTATACAATGAACGAGAATTTTAGGTGTCTCTATCCAAAACTGATATTTTTTAAATAAATATTTGCTATACGCACATCTGAAAAAAATCTTTCGTTTGCTCGAAAGTAAAATATATTTTCAGATCGAAATATTTATTATATTTTGAGCGTCCACATTGTAATTGCCAATATACATGTATATTTGTTATGTTTACAAGAAGAATTAATTATTATACAATGATTACGCATTGTTTTTCTTCATATTCCTAATTCTTAAAAGAGAAACAACTAAAAAATTGTAATTGTAACATTTTGTGTCTATGACAAATTGTTATGTTATCAATGGATGATAATACGTTTCGAATATTATAAATAGTAAAATTCTTAATTATCAATAGATGGTAGCACATTCAAATATTATGTCATCTAGAGATTTTTATTTTATCGATACATGGTAACACGTTTATATATTGCTTTGCTTAGAAATAGGAAAAAAAAATTTTGTATTTTCAATTATTAATAACTAATTAAATAATTAATTAATAAAACGAGCAATTATGGATTTTAAATGTCAATTAGTGAGTAATTAAGAGCACTTATTCATTTCTTTTTGCTGTTGAGGTTCTACGCCAACTTTTCTGCGGTGATTTAAGAGATATTACCATCCTTCTTGTTTCAGTCGGTAATAGTAGAAGTCTGTAGTTTATGTGCACGATTAACGTCGCTTCTTTTCCACAATTGTTATATTATTGAATGTAAAAATCTGTCAAGCAGATAGGAATCCTTACGAGATTATCGATTGTCAGGATATCATTTTAACAAAATAATATCATTATATCATTATATAAGATAACCTTGATGTTAGCTGAAAAGAAATCCGGTACGATAATCATTGTATGATATTTTTTTCCTGTTATTTTCCTTACCCATTAGTGCAATAGAAAAGTATATACATCTTTAACGTCTACGCATACATAGATTTTGTTTATACAATCTGAATAGCATCTATTTTGTCCTATTAACAGTTATTAACGTCGCGACGAGATTAAATGTTAACCTTGAAGTAGTTTATTCTGGTCGTATCGATCAAGGTATCATTTAATGCGTCATTTCGTATCAAAGTTGCAAAACAATGTTTTAAGATATTCCCTTTTCGTGTATCCTAACTAATCATACATACAATGATAGTTGGCAGGTTTTCTCTATATTTTCATGCAAGTATTTACTTACATTAGATGGGATCGAGAAGGAACCGTGTAGAAAAAAGAAATCAATCCGAAATACCACGTCACGCCGTAGTGTGTATCAACATTGGAAAATCAATGGTAAGGGATGACGTAGTAGCAGTCCCGCCTCGCGATCATCCAATCGTCTTCCGTACCTTACACCCCACTCTTAGGCGCCGTCAAACACCTACCAACACGATCGCCCCCCTTAACGTGCTCATTCTGTAGCAGACCGTCGAACCGATCGGACTCTGTTGACGTCGGACTATTTTGAAAAGGCTAACGCGCGAAATACACATACCACATATATACACACACGCGTATCTATGCAGTTTTCCAGTCGGCTAAATAAAGTCAACAAAACAGCAACCTCAGAGTCAGCAACTTCTAATTAGAAGCAGAAGATAAAGAAGAGGAAGTAGAATTTGAAGAAGTAGAAGAGGAGCAGGAGGAGGAGGAAGAAGAAGAAGAAGAAGAAGAAGAAGAAGAAAAGGAAGAAAAGACGGTGGCTGAGTTAGAACGATTTCTCTATTTGGAAAGGGTTGTCAACTGCGGTGTTGATTTACATCACCGATAAATAACGATCACCGGATCCGGCCAATCGACATCGAGACGAACGACACGCTTTCCCTATTTTTTAAGGAAGCAAAAGAAAAAAAAAAGAAATAAAGACTTACTTTCGAAATCGACGTGAATTATATATTACGCGTCGTTGAGAAAGAGTCCTTTTTGAGAATAACTGATTACGTTTACGTTTGATATCGTAATTAAGTAATACTCGGGTGATTATATTTGAAAATTAATTCAATATTTTCGATTAATCACCTCTGTTGTTCTCTTTCCTTCATCCACAAAGGAAATAGTTTCTTTAAATCCTTCTTTTTCGGTATCAGCAACAACTACATCTTTACCACCATCACCACCACCACTACTACCATCATACTACCAGCGCTGTCACGGAGTACTCGAAAAAACTCGTTTTGAACTTTCTAGAAGGCGCGTGGAGTTTCATTTGAAAGTCAGGGAGAGAGAGAGAGAGAGAGAGAAAGGGAAAGAGATAAAATTTTATTGATAAAAAAAGAAGAAAGATAGAGAGAAGGATAAAGGAAACGAGTGTGGTAAAAGGAAAAAAAAGGAAGGTTAAATAAAACTTGATAAAAAAGAACTCGACTCTGCTTGTATTATCGTAACAACAGAGATGGCGTTTATGATGCCGGTGATGAAAAATGAGTGGGACATTTACAAAACCAATCGAAACAGGAGATCCTCCGAATGTTCGAATCCTCGTGCCTGTCGCAGTAGAAAGGTGAGTTATTTACAAGAGAAGAAAAAATACAAGCCAAACTAACTTTCATTATACCAAATTTGAATTTCCTTTAAAAAAAGAAATATTCATTAAATAAAACTCGAAGTACAATGAAAAGAGATATACAGCTGGTTTCAAAATCAATACGTGAGTTTATTGAAAAGTCTCTTGGAGCCTAATATAAAATTTTTTTTTCGGTTGAGAATTTACTTTTATTTAAAAAAAAAAAATGATGCAAGTTTTTTTTCTCTGATCGACGCTCAAAATTTTTCGATCCACCCTCGTAGATACTAACATAAATATAAATTTTAATTACGCAAACTTTGAATTTAACAAAGAATAATTGTAATTATTAAAAAAAATATATTTTTGTTTAATATTTGGAATAGTAAAAAAGGAAACAGGTGGTTTAAAAATTAGTATGATATATATTATATTATAAAATAGAGAGCAAGAGAAAGGGAGAGTCGACTCAATTACATCTATCACATGTGTATGTATCTGTGTACTTTAATATCTCCCTCCCAATCAGTGAGAGAGACATATAATACATACGCACATTTCTTAGTCATTAATTTATTTAAATCTTATGCTGGTTGGTGGTTAGCAGCGTGAATAAACGATCAATTTCCTTTTCTTGTATTGTTTCTATTCCTTCTGTCTCCTTTCATCTTACGGAAGAAAAGAAAATATTGAGACAATCAAGTATACGTATGTGTGTGTGTGTGTATGTATGTCCTGCTATTTTGCGCGTCACGATATTGCGCAATAGCCTCCTCAAATATCTCGTTGGGCTTCATCGTTTATTGTACTCAATTCTTTCTACCCAAAGTAACATTTTTGTATGGGAAGGGGAATTACGTCTTGAGTTTACTAACAAATTACAAAATAAATTCTTTTAAGAATTGAGCATTACTGATCTTATATCTGTTGTGCGTATCATAACTTTTGGGGATTATTAGCTTGATTCATTTAAATATTAACAAAATTTTTGTTCAAAATAAAAAAACTATTAGAATCGTACCTTTACAAGGTTTTGTATTACGTACATCCCAGTTGCATATATTCAAATTTCTTATAGGGATTATATTAATTTTCTTAAACAAAAAAATTTAAAAGAAAATTATATAGAATATCATAAATAATAGTAACTTTGTGTATGCATTCAAACTTTTTATGGGGATTGTTTGAACTTTTACAGAAAAATTAGAAAGAAAATTTTTTGTAAAAGTCGAGATGTACTTTTGTAACTGTGTGTATGCAGGATCATACACCGGTTAGATACATACACCGGTTCTATGGATCATAACTTTTTATGAGGGTTATTATCTGAACTTCCTTAAAAAAAAATTCCAATAAAAAATCTACTTGATGATCGAGAACCACTGAAGATGTTCATATAGAAGATCCCGTAGCATACCCATGTTACATACACCAGTGGTATGTTGTATCGAGACCAACGACGACGGCCTTGCGCACGCGAGACGTATGGTAAAAGGAGGGAAGTGTTACTTGCGCATGGTTGGTGAATCTAATAGTCTCGCGTAACCTTGCACTCTCTTGCGAGTGCGTGGTCACGGGCGTCAATGTGTTTTCTGTCCCTCTCTTTCTCTCTCTCTCTCTCTCTCTTTCTCTCTCTTTTTAAATGTACACTCGTTTTTATATTTTGTTATCTCACCAAATATTGTTACTTAACATCGTTCCTACTTGAGATCGTTATCTTATCTTCTAGAGTATTTCGTTGGAAATACACGTTCTATTGAATGAATAGAGTAGTTACGTTCATCGATCATCAGAATATCTTCATTTCTAATTTAAATAGGTATCCGTAAGCAAATTTGAATTAGGGGTTGTATAGATCAATTTGTGTAGCAAATGTTTGATCAGTTCAATGATCTGGGTGTTCGATATTACATTAGGGATTCATTTTATTTGACAAATAGTAAAGCGTAAACGGTCATAATAGCAATCATAGAGATAATTATTAGGGTCGGCATGAATATTTGTATAGATTAATTAATTAATTATTATAAATATTCAAATACATAAGAGGGGTAGTGTTTTGCACAATTTTCGGCTAACGTAATACTATTAAATTAGTTTTCTAAACAATAGTAATAGAAACAAATATTACAAAACAATTGTAAGAAAGGATTGACAAAAACAAAAAAAAGAATGTTCGTTTTTATGTTTATTGTTGCAGGTATCGGAATGTTCAAAATCGGCAGGACCGTCCTTGTCGACATCACCAGGTTCGGATTTTCTAACCTCGCCAGCCCATCGGTCTGTACCCTTGACTTCTCGACATTTCTCTCGAGCATCGTCAAGAGCGTCTCAGAGCTCGCTTCAGAGCCCAAGCAAAAGTACCGGCTCCTCTCCCCCAAAGACCGGTAGTTCCAATTCCCTCAACAAGTTTCACATTTGTCTCGTTGACAAACTTAAAAGAAGCTTGAAAAAAGGAGACGACGATGAGGAAGATCAAAGAAACTTATCATGAAACAGTTCCAGGGTTTCGATGCGGACACAAGGCTCCGTTTCGAAACCGATCGAGATCCGTCGAACTTCGGCACCAGTCGCGACAATTGAACCGAATAGCGGAGTGGTGGCGCGATCATGTCCGAATCAACCTTCGGCGTGGTAGTAAATCTCTAATAAATGAGGAAAGAGATGGGAAACGAATGAAACAACCAACCAATCAACCTACCAACCAATCTACCAACCAAACTACCAACCAATCAACAACCAACCGATCAAACAACCAACCAACGGGATGACCAAACTGGATTGACCAGCTAATAAGAGAGAAGTATTCAAAATGGCGAATGTTAAGAGAATCAGAATGATCATTAAATCAATGAGGATTTTATATATTATAAATTCGATTAAACAACGACTTTGAAAGTTTAACAACACTGATAATGATGATGATGATGATGATGATGATGATGATGATGATGATGATGATGATGATGACAACATTTTCTTGATACAATGCAATCTAAATTTTCTCTCTTTTTCGTTTCCCTTTGAAAATTATTCTTTCCTTTCATAAATATATTCGAAGATTTATGATCAATGGGAGATTTCTATTTTCAATGAAATCATATATATGTTTATATGGAAAAAAGAAAATCTAACAATAGCCAGCCCCACCACCCTCTTTCCCCTTCTCAGAATGTTATTATCATCGATGGAAGGTTATGTTATCGATTTATTGTGCTTGATAACGATTGAGAAAGGATTTTTTTAAGATCGTCTCTGAAATATGCAGCTTCGTATTCGAAGTTAACGAACGGAGAAGAAGAAGAAGAAGAAGAAAAAGAAGAAGAAGAAGAAGAAGAAGAAGAAGTAGAAGTAGAAGTAGAAGTAGAAATAGAAGTAGAAATAGAAGTAGAAGAAGAAAAGAAGAAGAAGAAGAAGAAGAAGAAAAAAAGAAAACGAAGAAGAAGAAGAAAAAAAGAAAACGAAGAAGATTAAGAAGAAGAAGAAGAAACAAGAAGCTGTTTGCTGTAATGTATGCAGTTTTCGATGCATCTTCTTCCGATGCATTCAGACGACTAGGATCGAGGTCAGTGCCAATCCCAAGACGAGGTTTCGTCAATTTTGCGAAAATAATTTTATTGTCCTTCTCCTTTTTTTTTTTCTTTCCACCCCCACCTCTCCGATCCTCTTTCCAATCATTTTTCTTTTTTCTTTCCGTGATATTTTTTTTCTTATCAACAAAAATAATCAGATCTTTCTTTTTCTCTTTACTGAATTAATTAATTAAAAACAAAAAAAAAAGTATAAAATATAAACATACGAAAGGAAATGATTATATAATTTTTTTTTTAGAATTATTTTTTTTTCTTTTTAATTAATTACATTTTAAGTTCGTTCGATTATATTTTTATTTAAAAAAAAAAAAAGTTCCTTCTTGTAAGTAAGTACTTAAGATGTTTTGACAAGTTCGAAAAAGAAATGGTTATCATTTTTATTTTACTTGTTTTTTTTTCGAATTCGAGACAACCGATTTAAGATCGTAGTTTTTATATCTTCCTCGAAGCAAGGGATTTAATAGGAGAGAAAGAAAAAAGAAATATGGTAATGGCGAAGTTCTAATTGATGCGAGTGAATCACACGTTATATGAATTATGCGTAAAATATGCGTTTGAATTAGAAGAGAGGAGGAATTTTGTTCAATGAGCGTGCCGATTTAGAGCCTATTTCCGATATGACGTAAGCGTGCCTCATGCGTATGAAAATCAGGATTAGGTTTAAGAAATGATCCACTTATACGTCCATTTTTATTTTTTCTTATCAAATTTAATCCTACTGTTTTTTGTTTTTCTTAAAATTGTTGATTACTTTTTTTCTTGTTTTTGTTTTTTTTTGTTTTTTTTTTTTTTTTTAAGTCACAATTAAAATTTGAGCAAGAGAAGAAAATTTAGTCTACTTGGTGTCAAAATTTGGTGTAGAATATTTTTCTTTACAATTATTAAATATCTTGTTTGATTTATATACATTATATATATCTTATACAGAAGTGGGTTACAAAAAAAGAAAGTCGTTAAATAATTTTAATAATTTTCTTCAGACTAACTTGTGTCTAACTTTTATTGATCGTAAAACTTTAAATCCACTTTCTGTATATTTAATTTTTTTTAGTTAATATGACTTTTATTTTTCTTTCTTTTTTTTTTTTTTTTACATAAGTAGATCATCGTTAAAAGAACGGAACGAAGTTGCAAAATAAAGTAACATAATGCTAATTATAGCTTTTATTAGGAAAAAGAAAAAGGAATAAAAAAAAAAAGAAAATAGGAGAAGAGAATATTTTTCATATAAAAAACGCGATAGTCGCGTTCGACGTAAACGTGCACAACACACGAATCAGAAAGCGTTGTTAAAAAACGAGTGAAGGGAGGAAAAAAGGGTTGGAGAGGGGGGTGGAGAGGGGGTGGAGAGGAGAAATAGATTTTTCTTTTTTCCCCCCCTAATTCCCCTCTTCCGTTATCCTTGAATTTTACTCTTCCGAGAGTGGACCACCCTCGAATTCGTTGACTTTCGATTTTATTTCGAGAAAAAGAAGAAAAAGTAGACGACAAAATAAAAAATTAATTAATAAATATTAATAAATATTTGAGACGCGAGAGTAGCGTCGATCACCAAAGTTTTTGAAAGACTCTCGTTAAATTAAAAGTAGAAAGTATTAAAACAAAAGTGAATGTGTTGCGTTTCGTTGATTATTCGTTTTCTTTTTTTTTTTGTTTGTTTTTTCTCTCTCCTTTTCTTGTTTTTTATATTACAAATACATATATATATATACAGGATAAACCAAAAATGTTTTTTAATTATTTAATAAATTAATTATTCTTTTTTTTTTTATTGTAACTTTCTCGTAGAATTTTGTTATTCAAATCGTAATATTAAACTATGAATCCTTAATTAAAAGCACAAACGTCTCGATAAAGAGAGATAATAATAATTGATTTGATGAATCATTTAGAAACATTTTTGGGTACAAAAATTTCTTGTATATGTTATTATATTAAATTATCTATATTAAAATTGGCGAGAATCTAGAAATGTTTAATTATTTAATAATGTTATCTATATATAATTACGCTATAATTTTTGTTCTTTAAGACAATATAAAGAAAATACGTAACTTTGACCGTCGCAAAAGACAACAAAAATAAAAAACAAATCAAATTCGGATGCAGAACGACGTTTATCGACGACCTCGTAGGAATTTTAATTTTATTATATATTTACGTAAAATATAATTCCAAAAAATACAATTTCTTTTTTTGTCGTAAAATTTAAATTATCTTTTTTCTTTTTTTTTCTCTGAAGATATTGCACACACGCGCGCACACACACACACACACCAGAGACACGCACACAAATAAACGTGAGAATATATCGATAGAACTATTTATTATGAGAACATTTATAAAAGAAAAATGATAATCGATCATCGGTAAAAATTGATAACTTAATCCTAGTGTCTATCGTTTTAATAGTTGTCTGCTGTGTGATTATTATTTTTATTTTCCTTTTTTTCCAGTATAAAAGATCGTACGATAAGAAAATGCACGTTAACACAACGTCGTTGAACGTGAAACGAGATGGATTGTCCGTCGAGGGAACGGTCGAAGTCTTCTGCGTCCATTTCCGCTTTTCTTCTTCGAGAAAAGCGGCTTATTTTATTTGTTTAAACAATATATAAATAATACACAAGTCTATTATATTAATAATCGCGTTAGTAGATTTTTTTTTTATTCTTTCTTTTTCTTTTCACATCTTTTCACCATATTTTCCATGAATGAATAATTAATTAATTAATTCATCGATTAATTAATTACACGTTAAATAATTAAAAAAAAACAACAACAACAACAATAACAACAATAATAATAATAATAAATATTAATAATATTAAAAATAAAAACTTGAGATATTGGGAGCGATGAAATGATGTGTGTAACTCTGTGATACCGTAAGCTATAAGGCATAGAATTATTTTGCAACGATAAATGGAGATTAGAAGAAGAGAGAGAAAGTATGGAATAGTTGATTAACAAATTAACACCTTGACTGCCATGTTAATTTTACATGTTAAAAATGTGCTAAAATCGGTCACCGGTGACCCACGTGACCCTCATTGATAAGATCAAACATTGGTCATGAGTGACACTGGCAGTCAACGTGTTAAAATCTATTCGAAAATATATAAGGAAGACTAATTTCAATAATCAAAAATAAATCAATTCGATATTTTTAATCTTTTTTTTTCTCTTTTCTTTTCCTTTTTTTTCTTTTCTTTTTTTTTTTTTTTTTTATTTATTTTATATTACAAATTTTCATTAGCTTTTCTAATAGATCGAAAGAAATTATTATTTTGATTGTTTATAATATTTAACGTTTAATTTGGAGAAAATAAATTTGGAAATGAAAATCAAATTGATCAAAGTGATATTTTCGATCCTTTGATATTCGACATAAATCAAATCAATCTAATTGATTGAATATTGTAGTTTCTATCAATTTTCAATCCTTTGATATTTAAAATATTACATAGAATAAAACCGTTGAACATTTTCTATTTGCATGTTCAAATTATTCGATCAAAGAGTATAGATATTTTTGATCTTTTGAAATTCAACTTAAATCGAACGTTTCACATCAAAGTGATTTCATATTCTTGATCATACTCGATATTTAAATGAAAAAGTATAAAACAACATATATAATAGTTTATATTACGATTTATTTTTTAATATTTTTAAATAAAACTGAAGTAAACAAAAATTTCATTTTTATATTCAAAGTTTATATAATGTTTCTCACCTTTTCCTTTTCTCCCGGAAAATACGTATCGAAACATTCGCAATAATAAATAAATAAATAAATAAATAAATAAATAAAAAAATCATTGAACATTCATGTAGGAGAATAAATAATAAAAAAAAAACAAAGAATCATTTTTCATATCTATATCTATCTCTCTCTCTCAATCTGTCTCTGTCATTCTCTTTTTCGGCCCAAATATTAAAAAGCAAAATAAAAAAAAAAAATAAAAAGAAATAGAAAAGAACAAAAACAGAAAAATGACTTATAAATAAATGAGGATTTATAGTGTCGACATAATAAATATATATATATACTTATAAAATAGTCAAGATAAATGTAATCGTGCGGAAAATTTTGAAAATTTGATCCAAGTCGTCGTCGTCCTGCATGTTTGCTCCTGAATGTGAAAAATAATCACGTAAAGATCGGATAATTAAGATTAGAAAAGAAAAGAAAAGATAAAGTAGAAGATGGAAGAAGAACAAAGTAAATGGTTTCGACAAATTGATATGAAAATGAAGAAAAAGAAGATGGAAAGATCGTATTACAGTTGTATAAAAAAAAAACAAAACGAAATAATTTCCAAAAGTTGCCGCTTCGTGTAAGACTGCTTTAGAGATATAACGAAAAAAAAAAAAAAAATATATATATATATATATATATATACAGATCGATATATATATAAATATATAAATACAAGATGATTTACGCGAGATGAATAATAAAAATATAGTCGTATAAATATATATATGAAGATTATTTAGAATATCAGAATGATGTGCAGCTGTTGCGACGAAGGGCTGGTATCGAGATGCGAACAAACAAATTTTCAATTATTAACCAATTGTCTTTGTCCGTATGTGTGTTTAACAAAATTCAAATCCATACAATCGTCTCGATAATCTTCGTCGAAATAACATAATTGGTACTGATTAGGGAAAAAGAGATATGAAGATTAAACAGAAAGAAAATTAAACAAACAACAAGAAAAAATTAATAAAACAATAGTGTTTAATAAAACTTAGAAAT